TATTTATTTTTTTTTTTATTTTTTCCTCGGCACAAATACTGTAGATTTAAGCATTGTGGACCTATAGAATATACTAAAAACAAACCACTCGGCAGATAAAAAGCACCGCTGTTTAAAAGAGGACCTCTTCACATTCTGAACTTTGACCCTCACCTTTCGTGAACCAGCTGACGCAACACCTTTCTTAGTTAAATCGTATTATAGAGCCTATTTTCGCAGGTAAGAAGAGAAAAAAACACAGCAAACCATTAATGAGCTCGCCTGCAGCAATTCGAAAGTGTTTAAGTACTAATTCGATCTCTAAATAACCATCACTTAAGAAGAGATATCATGAAATTTGACAACAAAAATACTGACCGAGTTCACACACTTACCATCGATTTTCACCTTACCCCGGGCATACTTTAAATGTAAATTTACAGCAATTTCTAAATTCTATCGGTAGGCGTGAAAATCCACGCTCGTGTACATCGATAGAAGGTCTAACTAAATTAGACCTTCACTAAATAGAACCAATATATTAAAGTTGTCGGAACGAGGTGAAGAAAAATCAATTTCTCTTTGTTCGTAGGACAGATGGTCACACAGATAACATCGAACGGAACAACACCTCCAACAACCTCCGCTACACACACGATAAAGGATTAGTGTCATGTTAAACAAACATGGTACCCACTTGTCTTACATGGCGTAATTGCTAAGGGGTTCACTGATGAAGCATTCACACCTCGGGCGTGTCATCCGTCAGTTACAAAATATGTCACGTGGGCGTAGAATATTCATAAAAACAATTTCATAGAGGGGGGAGGAAGAAGAAGAAAACACGTTTAACGATTGAAGCAACGTTAATTTATTATTCGTCTAGTGTATAATTACAAGCGTACAATGCGCTCGTTACCCGGAGCTTTGGTGAAAATGGTCTCAATAACCCGAGCTCATCTCAAAAAAATAACAAATTAGTTACCCTCATGGGCCTTGAATTTTAAAGAGAGTATAAATACAAAATTGTTCGATGGCATCGAGATAAAGAGTAGATACACCACATCAAAATCGAAATTGCTTGGTATCAGTTTTGTAAAAATCAATGAAAGAAATTGCAATTAGATCAAAAAATAGGTGAATTATACAAAAGGGGGAAGATAATTGACGTCATCAGTTTCGGTCACGTTGAGTAGAAACATGGTTTCTGCGTGACCTTATGCGATCTCGAGGTTAACAATGGCTTCGAGCGAGTGCTGTAGGTGATATATGGAAAGGTTCGTGATTTAAGGCTTAATAGAGTCAGCGTAATAGGAAGCGTAAATTTTACCGTTACACAATTCACAATTTCCCTTCTTTAACTAACATAATGAATGTAGACTTTTAAAAGTCACAAATTCATTCAACGTTACGTGGAAAGTAATGGCGTGTTGCCATCTTCTCGTTGTATTGGTTTTACTCTTCTAGCTGCTCTACATTTAAGTTAATTATATTACGTATATAGATGTATCTAATTTAAAAAAAAAGTTTTTAGATAATGATAAATCATTTTTATATATTATATTATTATAGAATATAATTATTTTTATGAATAAAGATTGATCAGCTCTTTAATTATAAAGGTAAATATAAGCTTTTTTTTTATTCATAAGGATCAAAATATTTTAAATACGTTATGAAATTATATAGAGTCGACAATCTAAAAAAATCTGATTTATCATTCTTGTTAAGTTTTTTTTTGATAAGGCAAAATTTTTTTGATTAGGGTCATTTCATGGATGATTTTTCTTATTTGATCTGTCAGTCATACATTGATTATAGAAGAATATAGAGGAATTAAAAATTACTTTAATTTTTTATGATTTTTTTATGTTTTTATAGATTAAAAATGTGTCATTTTATAAATGCCAAACATAAAATTTTATAGATTGATGTTATTTAATGAATAACTTTCTTTTAAAGCTATCCTCCGTATTAGTTTTATTATTAGAATTAATGTAAAATAATTTTAAAAATATGCACTGCACGAATTTTAGATTTGTAATTTTGTTATATATTGGCATTTTAAAAATATTTAAACATAAAATTTTTTTTAGATTAGTATCATCTTATGTGTAATTTTTTATTAGTTCTGTCAGTCATATTTGTTCTAGTATTAGAATCAATAGAAGAATAAAAATAAATACTTTTGTTTTATAGGGTTTTACTTAGCTTTTTATACATTGGCATTTATAAAATTATGTACTTGCACATTTTAAAAAAATCTTCATTATCGTCAACAAAATCTTAATAAATCGCAATCAGTGTAGTTCCTTTATCTAAAAATAACATTTAAAAAAAAGTTGTGATTTAGAGTTTTTTACATTTGTTATGGCACTTCGTATTAAAAAAATTTATATTTTGGATTTTTTTTATTATGAAATAATGACTATTTTATTACTCGCAAGTGTCTTTGCCCTTTATTTATAACTATAAACAGTCTAAAAAATATCAAAATCTAAGTTTCGATTTATCTCCACTTTAATAAATATTCATCTAAAAACAATTTTTTTTCTTAATCTGAGGTACATTTAGGTGATGATGATCACAGCTTTTAGCCCAGAGGATCCAAGAAATTACCTGAACAGTTTTTTTAGATATATATATATCTAAAATAAATTTCTTAATCAGATACGATTATGTTTTTTTAGATATATCGATAGATGATATTTTACAGAAGGGTGGCGAATGTTGCATAAATAATTTGAAAAAAACCGGTTTACCAATCGATTTAGGCCTCTACAGATGTGTTCAAAAACATGTAAATATTTTTTAAAAGACTTTTTAATTCAAAAAAAATATACCTTTATTATAAAATGTGTTTTTTTTTTGTAATTGAGTCACTTGTAAAATATTTTTTACAAGTTACTTATAGATTTCTTCTGGAAAGCGTATTTTTTTATTTTAAAAAATCATAGTGTTTTTTTTAACCAAGTCGCAGCGCGTATTTAATTCTAAAACAAGAAAATTCTTAGTTAAATAGAATTTAAATCATTTTTTTAGATGACAATGATGAGGAGAGAAAGTCCATTACCTTACAATGGTTGAACACGGAAATGCTAATAGGGTCGTTATTTAACTAAATAGATCCACTTTTATTTTCTTGTTGATCTTATTTCAAACGACACTCGATATAAATAACATTAAAATTGCTCTATTCTTGCAATTTTTTTCAAAAAGGAAATGTCTCTTGGTGAATTAACTTGAAGATGTGTCGATATCATTGCTACTAACAAGAACGGATGTCTTTGTGAGTGTTTTTTTAAATAATATTCCGAATAAAAATTGATATTTATTAGATAATGTATGTAGGTTACAAAACAGTACAAAAATATTCGAAATTTAAACGTTAACAATTATATGTTTATCTAAAAAAATACAAGTAATCAAATAAAATCTTGTCATTTGGAACTGTGGACAGGGATGATTCAAAATTTTCTATACATAAACGTCATCTTAGCCCATCCTATACTGTATTAACATATTAAATGATACCATAATCAGGCCATTAGCCTGATTATGGTATCATTTAAATTGTGTTAAATGATTGCTTAAATTAATATCGTTTTAAACAATTCAGTATGAGTTCATGTTAGGCTATAATTTAAATAATGCTATTTGTAAGCTTGGCATTACTTTAATTGTGTTCTTTGGCTGCTTGATATCCAAATAACAGAGTGTAATATGTCCGAATTGTATTATTATGATATTTGGTATCAGTTAAATCGTGTATAATCTATTAATAGATGCTTGAGATTAATGAAACTAATTTATATGGATGTTGATATCGCTTAAACTGTGCTATCTAGATGCCTGATGTCTCTTAAATTGTGTTATTTAGATGCTTGATATCAATTAAACTATGTTGTTTGGATACTTATCGCTTCAACTGCATTATCTGGATGCTCGATATCTCTCAAGTTGTTCTATCTAGACATTAGATATCGCTAAACTGCGAAGTAATGATGCTTGATATTATTTAAATTTCGTAGTATAGATGCTTGATATCATGTAGATAATAAAGAGAGCTTAATCTATTTAAAATTATTATAAGCAAAAGTTTTGAATAATTTGTAGATTTTATAACTGTAAAATAATTTATTTATCAATGGTATTATAAATTGTTTTTAATTTGATTAGAAAGAAGGATATTTTTATAGAACAAAAACAAACAAATTCATTACTCAGAATAGAAGTTGTGGTTCCCACAGTCAGTTTCAAAGAATAATTTTGATAGTGGAGAGGGTTGCAAAGGAAACCTTTTACTGGTAACAATAGTCGATTTGTTTGTAAGAAAGTAGTGTTAAGTGGTCCCATTGAATCCCCTCTTATCCACTGACAATGACTTACAAATCAAGAAATCAAAAGGGGTGTTTCCATTTAATTGGACACTCGAACCTCGTTAAATGACGTGACGAGCTCTTTTGTTGCAAAATTGTCTTCGCTCCTTTATTCACTGTGTGTAAATGGCCAAATGAGTTTTTAAAGTTGCCGCTTTCTACTTCAAATGTTCTTCAAACACGAAGACAAGAATTGCCAACTATTGTTTTGATTGTTTATAAAAAACGTCAGCTTAACAGGTATTCTATAACTCTTCATATTCTTAAGTTATAAATGAGTTTACGTATAATAAATTGTATTTTGCCACTTGTTACAGTATCCTTAAACAAAGTTAGATATGTTACACATTGTAGAGTTGTGTACAGTACATCTAACAGGTATATAGGTGCGGAGTTATAAAAGCTGTTATATTAGTATGACACTATTACAAAGTTTCAAATGTACAATTATAATTTCATATTTGAAATATATATATATACTTTAATACATTTATAAAGGGGGTACCATAAAAGTTAGAAGCTTAACATTCGAGATATACATCAAAAATAAGGTTAATAAATACATTGTAAAGTAATAAACGGTGGAATGAATTGAGGTCGAAGTGGCCTCTTAAGATCCTCTCCACTAAATAACAAAGAGATTAGAACACACAACTGTATTTTTTTATTATTTTTTTCTTCGGGTTAACTTTAACTGCACAACTAATTGATTTTTACCCTTTCATTAAGTCATCCGACACGCTTCTCGCACATTTCTGACACTAGTCGAGTGTGCCATTCCTCTTCATTCGACCAACAAACCAAACAAAACTTTGCCCAAAAAAAATCAACCCGGCGATGTCCTTGATAAACTAATAGTTTAATAACAGGTTAAATGCGACGGAATGCTACTTTGGTGGTTGATTTTTCCCCTCTTCTTCCTTGGAGAGTTGTTGATCCCTGTGTAGATTATACGAGTGCGGAATAATTACAAGCAGATGGGAAATTTTATGAGGTTTCGAAGAGGCGTTAAGACCTACTTAAAGAATGAAATTTGTTTCTATTATTGTTCTTATATATTATTATTAGTTTACTAGGTATCAAATTTTCGAATGACACAAAGAAAAGTCAAATGGTAAAATCAATTACTTTCTTGTAACGGTTGATTTTTTCCAAACCGTTACTTACGTTTAAATTGACATGAATTGGCATTTTTAATATGAAATGTGGTCAAATATTCGTGAAATCATTTGTTTATGAAATTTCCATAAGTTTACTTTTTTTAGTGAAATGTTTATTGATTTATTTATGTATTTATTTGGATTTGAATTCTGATAGATTAGTTTTTCTTGGTGGAATTTTTATGGGTTTACTTTTCTAAAATGTGTTCAAATTTTCAATAATTCATAATTTTTGAAGAAATTTTTTCGGATTTATTTTTTAAAATATGTGCGCATTCGAATGACTTAGTTTTCTGAGGTGAAATTTCCATAGATTTTTCTTTTAATCGTCTTTAAATAAATTCACAAAAAAAGTTAATTTTTTTTCTAACTTCTACGAATTAGTTTTTCAAAATGTGTTTTTATCCTCTATGAATTTAAACAAAAAGTAAATGTATGGAAATTTAAACTTTATAAACATTTAAATGTAAGTTATTTTTAAGGAATTTTCATAAATTTATTTAAAAAACAGAGATTAAAAAATGAATTTATGTAAATTCGATTAGAGTGCCTTATCAAACTTTCACACACCCCTTTAAATTCGTATCGTTTTATTCATTTCAAACGAGTTAAGCGTTTTTATTTTACGTTTTAAGCCAATTTAAAGTTAATTATAATTTAAATAAATTTAAATAATAATTTTAGAATTATTGAAAGAAATATCAATTTGTTTAATTAAAAATCGAATCTCATTTTATTTATTTATTTATTTATTTTCATATTGTTTGTAGAATAGGCTTAGACTGTTTAGTCTATATACAAGTAAAAATATAGAAAGTGGCTTTAAATATTTGTACATTTAGTAGAAAGTATATAGACCTACACACGCTTTATATACACATTCTTCCTCTTCTATTTTCACTCGATTGCACCTAAATAATAGAAAAGAATTGTTGTCATCATCAGTTATGTAAATGAATTAAAATGATTAAGTTGTTGAAATAAATAAACAAATATTATGAAAAGTGTTAAAAGATAAAAATTATTCTTTAAATTACCTAAATCAATGCGTTTTTCTATAAATTTTTTCGTGATCTTTAACTCTAAGGATCATTAGAAGAATGTGCTTAGTTCTTGATAACTCCTAGAACCAAATGATCTATATTTCAAATTATAGGAAACATTCCAAATGAAAATTTTACATTATTTTAATACGGATATAGTTTTAATTTAATTTCCCAAATTTTAAGTAGCCTAATAATTTCGAGATCATAAAATTTAATTTTAAATAGGTAATAGATGTAAATGCTACTCATATTTTAAAGATTAATTAGCAGACAATAATGGAGACCCAATTTATTTAAATGAAAACTGCGCTAGCATTTTCGTCTTTTTAATCATTCAAATTTCTTTTATTTCCATATTTTTCATTTTATAATGCGAAATAATACATATAATTATATTACACTATATAATCTTTTTCATATTTTGAAAGATAAATAAGGTGTGATATATGGAAATGGAGTTTAAAATGAATATAAACTTGGAAGAAAAATCGAGTAAATGTCTTTAAAATATGGAGTTTAGGCTAATAAGTCATATTTTAAATTGCTATTTCGTTGTAAACTTAAAATTTTAAACATTCATTTATTATAAGAACGATAAATCTAAGTAAAATTTGTTAAAACTCAAAAATATTTAAGAAAATTAACTTTATATCAAGCGAAGAAGCGATCAAAGTCGAATAAATCTTATAAATTAATTGTAAACTTAAAATTTTAAACATTCATTTATTATAAGAACGATAAATCTAAGTAAAATTTGTTAAATATCAAAAATATTTAAGAAAATTATACTTGGAATAGCATTCCTTTGATATCTGTAATTGCAGTCTATGATATTCAGTTTTGTTCTTCGATTGACCTGTAGTGATATATTTATGATGATATCTTTACATAATTAAGACCCTGTTAAAATATTTATAGGATAGGACATCGAATAATGTCAGATATGTATAGAATATGTATTAATTCTTTATCCGAAATCACTAATTATCATTTGTAATTCTGTACTCTTTCTGTCATCATCATCATAGGTTTCGAATATGTTGGTAATCATCATTAAATAATTCTAAAAATAAACAGATAAATGGGATGTTAAGGTATAATATTTATAAATAATTGTATAACTTATCAAAAAAGCTGTTTTATTAACTGTATAGAATCTATGGTATCACCTTATCATGTCATGATCTGTACATTAATCAAGAATTTGACATTTTCTCTCCATCAATATTATTAAGTATCGATTCAAAAAAATCAAAATTCGTTCGTTCGTTCCTCAATTAAACGTCATTTAATGTTATTCTTTTTATAAAATTGAATTTTTTTTAAACGAATTAACAAAGTATTCCTTCAGATTAATTATCTTAACGGCTATGATTATGAAAAGAATAATCTAAGTTAAATTTTGCGCTTTTATATTGCATGTTGTTATTTGATTTTTAAAATATTTTTGATTTATTTGGAAACTATTCTTTATTTTCTAAGCTAATAAATCGATTTTTTTTGTCTTCAAAATGCCAAGAATAAAATATTCTCAAAGTTGTTCGTTCTATTTATAATGTTATCGAGTGCTGTAAATACTTTACTGAAGTGGTTCTCAATCTATTAGTCGGGTCGTTGTAACGTAAAGACAAGACATACGAGTGATATAATCTGTAATTTATGTTCAATTAGTCTTATTTTTTGAATGAGATTATTTGAAATATTAAAACATTTGTATCATGATTTTTCTAAAAATCGATTTGAAATAAATATAATAAACATATTTATGGAAAAAAGAGTATTTTTTACATGTTTAATTTGAATTTAGAACGATGAACCTTTACTTAGATTTTGAGCTTCGTGATCAAAATCATTATTACACTTAAACACCATAATCGATTATATGCTTGGAATTCAAATCAAAGTATCCAAAATATCCATTTGATATTAATTATAGAGATTCTACGTGGATCTAAGAGTATAATGTTTTCGCATTAGCAGCAACTAACTATGCTTAATGGTTTCTTAATAGAGGAGCAGGAAAATAAAGGGTGTTCCTTGCTACTGTTTCCAATATAATTTGTTTACATATCATGGATCCTTAACTATTTTTTTAGAACTTATATATATTCATTGCAGCGCTTTTTTAGATCCAATTAAATGATAATTTCTTTGTTTAATGCTTTACGATTTTAATAATTCCGTTCGTATTTTCAGTGTTTGGTACTAATGTTATGTTTTTTAAAAAAATAATATTTTTCTAAAAAGTTTATATTTGATATTATTATTATTAAATGTGAAATTAGTGTTTTTTTTAAAAAATAATAAAATTAGAAGACTGTATCAATATTTACGATTTTTTGTTATTTTTAATGATACTTAACCTTTTTTTACTTGGCGTTATCTTTATAATATATACGAATAGGCTACTTTAAGTACTTAGTAAAATACTCAGCTGTTTTGCTTCATGTTTTCTTTACACTGTATTGAATGCTGTAAATTAGTTCTCAATTTTTTGAAGAAATTCCCTCTTTTTATTAAAAAAATTAATAATCTTTATATATTCTAAAACCATATTGACCTATAGTTGCTTTGGGTATATTTTATTCTAATAAAATTAAGATTTCCTTACAGTTTTTGTTAGTACACAATTATTTTTGAAACAAAACAAAGTAAAAGAGCATACAGAGTTACTGCCAAATGAAATCAAATTCTGATATAATGATTATGATCTAGTCATACCACAATGATAACTTTCAACGTAATAATTTTAGTGAAACAAACACAGTAGTTGCGAGAGTTCTTAATACTATCTTGTGTTAAATAGAATATCGAGTGCTATAAGAGGTGGACTCGAAAGTAAGCAATGATATTGATCATTGCTTACTTTCGAGTAAGCATTTCTTCGATTTCTCGAGCATTTCGAGTAAAGATTTCTTCGCATCTTCTAGAAGAAATCTTTCGTCCTACAGAGGAAGGATCACGCTTTACAGTTTGAGAACCACTGCTTAAATACTTAATAAATAGTTGGCAATCTACCAGTTGGAATGTGTAATGTAAAGCATCTACTGCATTCTGTAACGTATTCTGCCACTCGAATCACCAACAGGTTACAGGTACGAAAGATAAGAGCGAAACCATAATTACGACAGAAGTATTCTTCGATCCCTTCCTATAATTCCGATAATTATTTCCGGCATGTGACCCCCACACCTATAGAAGATCCGAAATTTCCAATTCATCAGCATCGACAACGAGATTTTTTAGGTCACTCACCTTCTTTCTCTCGACTCATTGTAATACAAAAGGTGTTGGGTAGATTGTTGTCAGGGACGAGGACTCATTGGAAATTAGGGAGAACAAGGCGACAACACTGTCCCCGGGATGTCATTTATCAGCGGAGCAAAAGTAAATATCAGATAGTCAATGATCGATCGAGCGGTTTTGTTCCATCACCAACGTGTTATTATCACCCGAACCCAATGTCCCCTGGCAGTGTGACATCAAGTTGAACGACCCTCTCCGTCAAACAAATACAAATATTGTCATCTTACCCCACCCCTTAACACTATTTCGGAATTGATAAAAAGTATCTTCGATGATGAGCGGAATTTTAAATACTTTTCCACCTTTTCTTAATGGTTTTCTTATTCAAAAATTTTGTTTCACATCGCGTTTTGTTTAATGAAGGCTTAAATAATTTTTTACGTGAATTAACTAATAAATTATGATTTCTTTTTTTTATAAAAAGATAATGTAAATTGTTTAAGATTAATGTTTTCTTTAAGTTTTTCGGACATTTACAAAGTATATAATAATATTTTCTTTTCTAAAAATAATATTAAAATTGATAAATTGATCTTCTAAAAGTACAGAATATTAAACAATACACGTTGCAATTTGTATTTATAATAAAAGTTTAGAACTTAAAAGTGTTATATTTTTAAAAAATTAGAATTTAGAAGAGTCATACTCTTAAGATACTAGAATTTATATAACACATTTCTAAAATATATTAACATACAGGTATATAAATATTATATTTCTAAAAATACTAAAATAGATAAAACTTACACTACTAAAAACACATTATATATATAATAATTCTAAGAATATCCTTGAAGTTTCGAAAAAACTTTTTAATTTTAAGATTTATTGATCTAATAAAACAAATTTTATTACTTAACTACATATAAATGAATGGAGGAGGGAAAAGAAAAAAAAAGTAATTTATAAAAATATTGCGTTATTATCCGAGTGATGTTTATAAATTAACTCGAAAACAATAGTTAAAACGTCGATTTTTTTAGATAGACATTAGACTTTATTTATTTATTTATTATTTTTAAATTTTTTTAGAAACGAAAGTATTGACCTCGAGTAACGATTATTGAACTTTAGAAATCGATAAATCGAGCGCACGATATATGATTTTTTAGATAATTTGGCAAAGTTTAATACTTGAGAATCGGTATATATCACGTTGAATTCGATCATTCTTCTTGGAACAAAAGTTTTCTGCTTTTTTTCAAGGGCTGAACAAGGGCAAATGCCCTAAGGGTCCGGAAATCCTCTCCGCTTTTCTTTGATTTTTACTTTATTATTTAGAATCGTCCATTAAAAAAAAAGCACTACTTATAAAACTTTGAAGTTTAAGAAGCGATCCCAATTAATTTTGTTTCTCAGATTTTATTACGTTTTAAATTATTTCGTATCTTTTAGATTTTCATATAACATAAAAGTCTAAAAAAATGATATTTATGTTTTATTTATAACTATTAAAAAATTCATTATTAATTTAGATTTCTTTTCCTAAATATTTCGTTTTAATTATTATTATTTATCAATTATTTAATTATATAAAAAAATTTTGAAAATGAAAATTGCTAAGAAATTTTTGGATGCTGTTCTGCTCTTTTTAGAATTTTTGATTTAAATAAAACTAAAAAATAAATAAATACATTTTAGATTTTGTATTTAAATAATATGATATTTTTTTAAAAGAAAATTGTATCTAAATTTAAAAAATTACATTTAATTAATTAATTAATTACAAGAGAATATTTGAAAAAAAACAATATGCATAAGAATATTTTGTTTTACATTTTTATAATTTATCAAAGAAATTTGTAAAAAATTAAATTTTATTTAAATTTGAATCTTTTAAATTTTTTAAGAAAGATAAATATATAATTTACCCAATTATGTACGAAATTTTTTTGAAAAAAGAAATTAGTAGAAACTTTTTAAGTTTTGTTTGCTTTTTTTTTTAGAATTTATCAAAGAAAATCTGAAAAAACGATATCGGATTTTTATGAAGGAAACAATCGAAATAAATAAAAGTGTCAAAGAAATGAGTATAGAACAGATGTGGCAAATGACGTTGTGTTTTTTGAATTCAAAGAAACAAAAGGTGGAACTGTCTCAAAGAATTGACATCTAAGAAATGGCTTATTGTCTTTTCTTTATCGGCAACTCCAACTAAATTAAATTGTTCGGGAAACAAAGTTAACGAGATTCTTGTTGTGTTTCTCTTCTTCTTCTTCTTCTTTATTATTTGATGCTCTTATCTAAAAAAGCCCCTCCCAATAAAGTCTCTTTAAAATTATAACGGCTTCAATAAATCTTCTAAAAATATATGTATGTTTATTATAAATATTTAAAACTATCATACATCTAAACAAATCAGGTTAAATTATCTGAAAATTTTATATATTCTCAAAGATGAATAATTAAAACATTAAATTAATTTAGGAAATTTTAGAAAATAAAATAAATTTATATCTGTTTTATTGGAATTTATCAACAATTTTGCTTTTTTAACGTTAATTATTCTCTTTTTTGTGTGTTTTTTAGAAGAAAAAGGAAATAGGGCAAATTACCTGTAATATAAAAGTGAGGCACCCAAATGAAATCAAATTCTGATATAATGATTATGATCTAGTCATACCACAATGATAACTTTCAACGTAATAATTTTAGTGAAACAAACACAGTAGTTGCGAGAGTTCTTAATACTATCTTGTGTTAAATAGAATATCGAGTGCTATAAGAGGTGGACTCGAAAGTAAGCAATGATATTGATCATTGCTTACTTTCGAGTAAGCATTTCTTCGATTTCTCGAGCATTTCGAGTAAAGATTTCTTCGCATCTTCTAGAAGAAATCTTTCGTCCTACAGAGGAAGGATCACGCTTTACAGTTTGAGAACCACTGCTTAAATACTTAATAAATAGTTGGCAATCTACCAGTTGGAATGTGTAATGTAAAGCATCTACTGNGGAATTTATTCTTTAAAAAATTTCTAATTGAAAAG